TTTAGTTTGATATAGTCCCACTTGTTCATTTTTGCTTTTGTTTCCCTTGCCTGTGGAGATATGTTCATGAAGAATTCGCTCATGTTTATGTCCAAGAGATTTTTGCCTATGTTTTTTTCTAAGAGTTTTATGGTTTCATGACTTACATTCAGGTTTTTGATCCATTTTGAATTTACTTTTGTGTATGGAGTTAGATGGTAATCCACTTTCATTCTCTTACATGTAGCTGTCCAGTTTGCCAACACCAGCTGTTGAAGAGGCTATCATTTTCCCATTGTATATCCATGGCTCCTTAATTGTGTATTAATTGACCATATATGCTTGGGTTAATATCTGGACTCTATTCTGTTCCACTGGTCTGCGGGTCTGTTCTTATGCCAGTACCAAATTGTCTTGATTACGGTGGCCTTGTAGCAGACCTTAAAGTTGGGAAGCATGATACCCACTGCTTTATTCTTCCTTCTCAGGATTGCTTTGACTATTTGGGGTCTTTTATGACTTCATTCTTTTTTATTTTTTTATTAAAGTATAGTTGATACACAATCTCATCTTGGATTCAAATGTACAACACAGTGGTTCAGCAGTTACCTGTATTATTAAATCCATACCCCCTTTAGTGAGGTTACTATCTATTAAATAGAAATATGTTACAGAATCATTGACTATAGTCTCCATGCTGTACTACTGTCCTTTGACCAGTTTATATTGTGATTGTGAATTATTGTGTCCCTTTATCCTGCCTCACACTCCCCCCTGCATCTGCCCCAGTCCTTCCACCTTGGTAACCACTTTCACTTCTCAGTGTCTGTGAGTCTATTGCTGTTTTGTTCCTTATGTTTTGCTTTGTTATATTCCATGAGTAAGTGAAATCATACAGTATGTGTCTTTCTCCACCTGGCTTATTTCACTAAGCATAATACCCTCTAGATCCGTCCATGTTGTTGCAAATGGCATTATTTCTTTTCTTTTTATGGCTGAATAATATTCTGTTGTATGTATGTACCACCTCTTCTATATCCATCCATCTGTTGATGAATACTTAGCTTGTTTCCATATCTTGGCTCTTGCAAATAGTATAGCATTAAAGATGGGGGGTGTACATATCTTTTCAAATCAGGGATTTTGTTTTCTTCAGGTAAATTCCTAGAAGTGGAATTACTGGGTCGAATGGTATTTCTGTTTTTAGTTTTTTGAGGAAACTCCATGCTACTTTCCACAGTGGTTACACCAATTTACATTCCCACCAACAGTGTAGGAGGATTCCCACTTCTCCACATACTCACCAACATTTGTTATTTCTTGTCATTTGGATAGTGGCCATTTTAACTGGTATGAGGTGATAACTCACTGTTGTTTTGATTTGCATTTCCCTGATGATTAGAGATGTGGAGCATCTTTTCCTGTATGTCACTTCATTCTTAATTTTATTCTGGTAGGTTGTTTTCCAAATACCCAGCAAATTAACAGTATGTTGCCCTTTGTTCTTTTTTCCCCAGAGAGTTGGTTGACTTTATATTAGAGGTATTTTCTTACTAATATTCAACCTGGTAACTCAGAAACAATTTGTCCTGAAGAAATAGTGTTAAAGTGCAGAGGTCGATAAAAGCCCAATCCTTATAACCAAACAGGGCACTCAAATCTTCTCAAATTGCCCTGTTGGACCCCTCCAAGTGTACTCCCACTTCTGCCTAATAAACTCTTTGCTACTTTAACTCAATAAACAAACAAAAAAAGAAGTCAAATTTTTCATAAAGGGCCAGATAGTCACTATTTTAGGTTTTGAAGGCCATTGGGTGTTTGTTGAACCTACCCAGCTCTGCAGATATAGTGAGAAAGCATTTATAAACAATACTAAAGATATGGGTGTGGTTGTATTCTAATAAAATTACAAAAACAGGAGGAAGGCTGGATTTGGCCTCCAGGCCAGAAGCATGTCAATCTCTGAGAAAGAGGATTGTTGTAAAAAACCGGAGACATAATAATCTATATTAGCCTAAGCTTGTATTCATATAAGACAGTATTTTATATTTCATTAACTTTTTGTTCACAGTACTGAAATGTGCTTCTTATAAAAGTTTCATCCTTTTTTATTCTAAAAGAAACTGAAACAGCTCTGTAACCTACCCCCTGGAACTCAATATTAACAAACAAAAGCATACACATTTGAATGTGTATGACAAATAGGTAGAGAGCAGAAGTATACTAGTGGTAGAAAGTGAAGGTATATAATGATAGAGGTGGGGCCATGCTGGTAGAGGGTGTGAATAGGTAAACATAGCCTTGGGCCTTTTTCCTTCCTTTTAAAATGGCCACTGTGATAGTGTACCCTCCTCTTCTGAGGTTAGATCTTTATGCACAGCAGGGCTATGATGTAACAACAACCTTGAAAAATAGACACAAAAGGAAATAAACAGTTCGGAGGGTGTGGAAACCTGGGTGTAGGAGGCAGCTGTACATCACTGGTTACTGACTGACTATCCTGTTTTTCTGCCTGGAAATACATGTCCAGTGGAGATTTGTGGCACTTGTGCCATTGCTTTGCTTGGTATTTTGAAGAGTGTTAACAAATGTAAACAGTATTTATTGCAGCTCAGTGAAAAGTCTGTGCACCTGCCATGGCACCAAATAACCCACGACCTACTGAATACCTCAGGCTACCAATAACAAACTGGCTAGAGCTGTGCTGTTCAGTACAGGAGCCATTACTTGGCATGGGGGTTATTAAGAACATGAAATGTAACTAGTCGGAATTAAGATGAACAATAAATGTAAAATATGTACTAAATTTTGAAGACCTAGTACCAAAGAAGAAAAAAAATATTTTAATATTGCTCACAGATTGAAATGAATATTTTGGGGCATATTGAGGTAAATAAAATGTACAAAATTAATTTCATTAGTGTTTCTATTAAATCTTTTAAATATGGCCACCAGAAAAATTTAAATTATACATGTGGCTAGCATTCTGTTTCTATTAGCACTAGTTTAGAGACTAATGTGTAAAATATCTGGATTTGAAGTATATTTTTCTTAAATAGTTTTAGATATAGTTTAAATTATTAGGAATATGCCTCAAACACATGTGCTAACTGTATGTGTTGGCTTGGTAAGATAAGTCTTACAGATGTGTTTGTTCCTATAGGAAAGGTTTTAAACTTTCAGAAAGATTTCTGAGTGAACTGTAGTTTTAGGCAGCAAATTTAAGACCCCTTTCAAGATCCATCCATCCATGCATTCATTCATTTTATTCTGTACCACTGATAACCATGTGTTGGGTATGTCTGAACTAGATTATATTCATCTTTTTTCTCTCTGGTATTTCTCTCTGCAACTCTACTTTTCTTTTATGACCTGTTAAACAGCACTTCTCTAAAAAATGTTCTAGTATTTTTTTTACCTTTGCCTGCCTTTCTACCTTCCTTTCCTCTGATTTCCCAAAGGATGTCTGCCTCTGTCTCATAAAGATAATCATTTTTTATTTTGTATTTAATGATGTACATCCATTATCTCCTCTACTAGACAGTACATAATTCAAAAGGATCTTTGTACTGAATTAGAATAATCTAAATTGACATATACATGTTATCTCTTTAGATCTCATTTATGTCAAAGTATGATTAGTTTCTCTTTATTCACAGATTTCATTTTTTCTTATTGTACAAATACACAAATGAAACTATCTTAATGGACTTACACTAAATCATCTTTGGAGATCAGACTGTTACAGCGATAAACTATACAGATACACTAATCAGGAAGTAAACATGCAGCATTTTTAATATTTTTTAGAGTAAGGCAAGAAGGAAGGGGCATTTCAGGAAGGAGAAAGAGAATAGTGAATTATATTGATTGATTACTTATGATTATTGAAAGTAGATGAAAGTATAAAGGAGGGAAAAATATTCACTTATATCCTACCCCTTGGAGGCAACCATTGCTAACCTTTCTGCATATTTTTAACCCATCTATTTAAAAAATATTTTTATATGAAAATAATGCAAGTACATGCTTACTATAAAAACTCAAACAATATTGAAATTTTTCTTTCCTCCCCACTCCCTTTCTCCACAAGGAACATCTGTTTATAGTATTTGTATAAATACACGCATTTTTGTTATAATTAATGTATATGGGATTGTGTTATTCAGTAATTTGAGTTTTTTCTATTTAATATACCTTAAAAATATTTTGATATTATAGAGCTCTTACATTTTAAAAGTGACTGGATAGAATTTTTGAAAAGAAATAAATACTTGTATTAAGAAATTCCAACAGTTTAGAAAAGCACTGAGTAGAATGTTCCCCCAGTCCCATCCCCACTGTAGCTGTTACCTTGATTTTTCTATAACATTTCCGAAGTCTTTTATGCTCCTTTATCTTTATTTTCTTTCCTCCTTTTCTTATTTTTTTAAAACTCAAGTGGGACTGTTCATATATATTGATTCTATGTTTTTACTTTAAAAAAATAGGAGAAAATCAAACTGGGAAGTATTTTTTCCTATTAACATATTTTTAAGAACTCTCCTTATATTGTTTAATGACATGATTGTTCATTATGTTTTCATATATTATATTTTCATTACTTTCTCTTACTAAGAAGGTACTTAGATTTCCCAGTTTTCACTATTATGTTAAAGCCTTTCAAAATTCATAGTTAAGTGCTTGAAATTCCCTAGTGTTCTCACTGCTTTGAAACAAAAAGCTTAAAAATTAGAAGGAAAAAGAAAGGTTGCATTTATTTTTTATTTCACTCCTGATTTCAAAACTGATGGAAATTAAAGTCCCATTTTGGCTGATGTACCTTTAAATTGCAAAATATTAATGTCTAGCTTAAGTATACTTTTTCTTAGCTTTGTGTTAATGTGAACGTTGACCACTAAGTAAACCCTTGAGTTCTGTGAGTCTAAGGTTTTGCAGTAAAGGCACAATCCTATATGAGCTTTTAGTATAAAATTTGTGAAATGATAGGTAATGGATTTTTGTTTTTGTTTTTTAATCAGTGACTTTTTTGAACGAACCATTTTGTGCAACAGTCTTGTGTGGAGTTGTGCCGTGACGGGTAGACCTGGACTGACCTATCAGGAAGCACTTGAGTCAGAGAAAAAGGCAAGACAGAATCTTCAGAGTTTTCCAGAACCACTAATTATTCCAGTTTTATACTTGACCAACCTTACCCATCGTTCACGCTTGCATGAAATTTGTGATGATATTTTTACATATGTCAAGGATCGATATTTTGTTGACGAAACCGTGGAAGTCATTAGGAACAATGGTGCAAGGTAAAGTACTTTTTATTTTTCCTTTTGATACACATACATTGACGTTGCTTAAAATACAAAATACACAAAAAGATGGACTGAGAAAAGGTTCCCTTTTACTGTCCTTCCACTACACTGTTACCCTCTCCACAGAGACCCTTAGTGTTAGCACTTTCTTATGTATTTTTCCAAAGCTAATTTTTATGTAGACCCCCCAAAACACCTGCATGTATACACACACACACAGTCTCCCACCTGTTAGTGTACTCTGTACTTTTCTCACTTAAGATGTATGAATATCAGCCCATTGCTTTATAAACCAACTTCTCTTTTTTATTTACTGTATAATATTATTACATGAAAGTTCCTTCTTTAGTTAAGAAAGATTTTTACTTAATGTTCTCATGTTACCTAATAATTTAAATATGCCTTTACTTCTTGCTGGGTTTTATTTAGTAGTTCCTTTGATAAGATGAGGACCATATATTTTTAAATTTTCCACTGAGTTCTCTTTTACCCAAGTTTTCAAGAATAGAGTTGACTTTTCATATATGAAAATTTTAAATGACTAAATTAAAAATTAGCTGTGCTTTCCTGAAGTCCTAAGCATTTGTGATTGGCTAGTTACTGATATTTATCATAATAATATTTATCTGCATTGAAACATTTTATAGTCTCTTGACTTTGGGGGCAGTGACAACAAAATATTTTTTGGATGGTTTTTTTCCCTCTCTTTATGGACCTGAAAGCAGATTTTTTTTTCTTCCTGAATTTTAAACTGTAGCAGTCAAAAGTTATTTAATTATGCTCTTTATTATCTGATTTTATAGAATCATGAGTTTATGTAATTTCAGAATAATGGCTTTAATTAGTATAATATATTTTAATTATTAAATGCTATTCAACATGAATCTTAAAAAGCCAAGAGATGTTTATATTAAGATCTAAATTTGTTTGGATTTGATTTTGGTGAAGAACTGGATGCTTTTTTTTATTGTAGAAGCAACAAATGCTAAAAATTGAAAGATTTTTCACATGTCTAGTGACTTTTGGGAAAAATCATATCTTTATCTTTGGGGGAGAGATTAATATGTCACCAGAAATCCCACCAGCAGCATACCCTTTAAAAAAGGATCATATTATACTATTCTGGATTATCTTTGATAGTGTTTGGTGATACACTTAAGAAACAGATTTTTATGTTTTGATCTATATCACCAAAAGGAATAATAGGACCATGTTTGGAGATCAGGACAATTTTTTTCTCTTTATAGTCATTGATTTTATTTGACATGTCAAAAAATGTTTTCTAATTTACAAATTATTGGGATATATTAACCTTTCATATTAGGAACATTGCTTACATCTAGAAATGTAGTGGTTCAGTGTCTTTTGCATAGCTTTTTTAAAAATTGTGCCTTAAAAATGGGCTTCACGTAGTTGTAGCTATAGTAAAGTATGGTACATTACAGAAATGGGAAGTCTGGGTGTCACAATTTTATTGATTATTCATTAGGAAACATACCTATTCCTGCTTATGAAGCTTTTAAATTGTAAAAAAAAAAAAACTGCTATTTTTCTGAAAAATTTTAAGGCTTAATTTTCATAGTGTATACTGGCCATTTTCACTTTTTTTGGGGAAAGGAGAAATCATGAGTGGCTCCTTGACTTTTTTGCCTTTAGCAGCTAAGATGTAGAAGCCTTAGGAAATTATATCAGAGTCTAGCCATCCTTGCTCTCATCTCTGGTCCAGATATTTCTGACTGCTCTGACTTTGTATTTCATGGACATGTTGCTTAGTATCATTTACAGGCTAGACACTGAGTTGGTACTGGGGATGTGAAAAGGATTAAGATGTCCTTAAAAAGTTGAGTTAAGGGAGAGACAAACCTGTCACTTGCCAGGTGTTAAAATAAATGTACAAATGAAGAACATTTAAGAGCGTCCATGTCCAGTGTGCCATGGAGGCTAGGTCTGGGTTCCCTACATTCAGTGCTAACACTGGATATTTTAGTATTTTAACCTTTGCAAAGTCTTACAATATCTCAGTATTTACTTTGCTTGTTCAGGTCCTTTGCCCATTTTTCTTTTGGCTTGTTAGTCATCAGTAGATTTGTAAGAGCTATTTATTAAATATCTCTGTCATACTGTTGCAAATATTTGTTTCATTTTTTTGCTTTTCTTAAGTGTTCAGTAAATGTATAATTTTTAAATATATATATAAAAAGTGAAATATATATAAATAATATATAATTAAGAATAAAGTAAAAATACAATAAACACATTCACCACGTGGTTTTAATAGAATACTTTTATCTTTGATTTTGTTTGCAGTTTGGGAAAAGTTATAAATTTCTAGTTTTTTATGGGAGGCAGAACAGTGTGATAGTGAAGGATCTAGGCTTTGGAGTCAAACTGACCTTGTTGGACAATGATGTCTTTTCAGCTATGGCGAGACTAAAATGAGAATACAAGTATGTGTGTGGTGGCAGAGGGAGTGGGGGTAGAGTGCAGAGCACATTTTGAATTGCTGTATAAGTAGAATATAGTAGCATTTTACTAGGGAAATAATGCTGCTTGTGGCCCAAGAGGCTTATGTGGAAGTTAATATTTCTCTTCTATAATTGATTCCTTTTTCTGTTAAAAATTGTATTTTATATTGTAATTACGCTTCAAGCCTGACTTGCAATTTCTGCAACTTTAGATCCTAAGTTCCTGCATACACCCTTATCCTTTTACCCTGTACACTTAAATTTCAGTTAAAATAACTTAACTACATTAACTTGCCTAACTTTACTAGATTTTCTTTGGTTGGAATTGTGCCTCCACTTAGCTTTTTGGCACGTTATTTAACATCACTTATCTTTCCTTGCATCCTTAATAGAGTTATTGTGAAGATTAACTGAGATGCTGTATGAAGTGCCAGGCACACAGCCAAGTGTTCAGTGAATCACAAGTTAGAAAGGTCAATCTTTTTCCATTTTGATTTTTTGAGTTCTCTGTTATGCTTATAAACCCTTATTCTGTTGCACGGATATGGGGAATTGACATGATGTTTTTTCATTTGGAATGTGTTCTAGAGCCCAAGGAACACATATCCCTTCTGGCTTCATATCTATTTGTGTAACTTTTGGGATTGGATTCTGTTTCAAAGTGATGATATTGGAGGTAAGGCCTTAGCACCCTTGAGAAGGAGGCTAGGGGAAACCCAGCTTCAGGGATATGAGAAGCTCCAGGTTGCATTTCTTCAGTATCCCTGTGGACTTATCTGTAGGCTCTGTGGCTTTTATTCCTGCTGGTGGCATGAGGTTTATCCTTAGAAAGCTTATTTAGAAAATGAAATGGGTTTATCCCATGGCTGAGAAATAGCAGGCACCTAACTGTCTTCATGGGATCCCTTTACTAGTGTGAGATATCTGCACACCCACTCCCTCCTTCCACTTTTCACCACAGAATGTGAAGTCAGAAGAATTTGCTTATACAGTGCACACATTTTCATCTCCCTCTGCTTTTTTTGTTAAACAACCTTTGTTGTTATATAATTCACGCACAATGAAATTCACTCGTTTAAAGTGTGCAATTCAGCGGGTTTTAGTGTATTAACAGGGTTATGTAACTATCACCACTATCTAATTCCAGAATATTTTTATCACCCCAAGAAGTCACCCATTAGCAGGCACTCCCCACTGTCCCTTAATCTCAGCCCCTGACAACTGCTATTCTACTTTCTGTCTATGAATTTGCTTATTCTGGACATTTCATGTAAGTGAAGTCATACAATATTTAGCCTTCTGTGTCAGGTTTCTTTAACTTTAATGTTTTCAAGGTTCATCCTCATTGTAGTGTGTATCAGTGTTTTATTTCTTTTTATTGATAAATTCTGCTATATGAATCTATCACATTTTATTTATCTGTTCACAAACCATATGACATTCTAGAAAAGGAGACAATAAAAAGATCATGGTTACTAGGGATTGAGGTGGGGCAGGGAGAGATGAATAGGTGGAACACAAAGGACGTTTAAGGCAGTGAAAATACCCTGTATGGTACTATGATGATGGATATTTGTCATTATACATTTCTCCAATCCCATAGAATGACTGTAGTATAAACTATGGACTTTGGATGATGATGTGTCACTGTAGGTTCATCAGCTGTAACAAATGCACCACTCTCCTGGGGGATGTTGATAACGGAGAGGCTGTGCATGTGTGAACACAGAGTATAAGGAAAATCTCCTCTTTTTCCTCTCAGTTTTGCTAAGAACCTAAAACTGGTCTTAAAAAAAAAGTTATATGCTCTGCTTATTAAGACTGAAGTTTATACTTTAAAACTTTCTGCTTATTTTTTCCTTAAAAAAAAAAATATATATATATATATATATATCAGAGAAAAGTATAAAACCTGGGGGCCTATAGTGCATTTCTGAGTTCTCCCTTCAGAGATAACCACTGTCAAACAATTAGTGCACAGTTCCCTTTTTTTCTATACTATACCAAATTTTAAAAAAAAACAGCAAGCAGCTTTTTCACTTAGAGGTGGTTTGGGTGTTTTCTTCTAACAGAAGACATAGATATGCACTGTTTCTAATAGATTTTACATAAACTGATTATGGTTCCTAAAAAAGCTTAGAATGTTTTCCTTTTTCTGAGGATGAAGAAATTACTCCTTTTGCCAGCTTTGTGTGAATTCTCTTTGAAAAAAATAAACTGCATTCCCAATAATCTCTAACCTTTGACTGACTGACAGACCTTTTCTCCAATGTAGGTTAAATCAGTAAAATAGCAGAATCGGGTTTGTACCAGAGAGTTTCGTTTACAGCTTCGATTTTCCAAATATTATCACCACACTATTTAAATGTAAAATTTACAAAATGTTGTCTAGCCAGTTAGCATTAAAGACTATCAGTATTGTTTTTAGGACTGCCTTATAAAATAAAGATTATAGAATTCTTTTTAATTTCACAGACTGATTCAAATTTTGTCATCAAATACTGACCAACCCACTAGAGCTTTTAACTA